TGAGGATTGTTGCTACCTGATCGTCCGACAAGGAAAGCCTGCCTACTTCTTCATTTATTTATTCAATAAATATTTTTTGAATCACTTCCATAACCCAGTCTTATAGAGAACTGGTGAGCAGAATAAACACATCTGCACTCATGAAATTCACGTGGTATAAAATTCCATATAGTAAATAAGCATCACATACACCATATCACCTAATGATACGTACTACTGATAAAAAACAAATATTGAGGACATATTTTTCTAGTACCTTCTTTTTTTGCGGGGGTACCTGGGATCAAACTCAGAATTTCTAGTACTTTCTACATTTCTCTTTAAGACTACACATCTCTCTTATGCATTTTAAAAGATAAACAATATTTTGCTTTATGTACAAACTAAAGTCTTTTAACCAAACCCCATAGATGGAATTTATTTTCTATTTTTGCAATTGCAAATAATAATGAGATCAATACTTATATATCTTTCCACACATTTTAAAGTACTTCTACTGCTAAAATTCATGAAAAAAATGTGTATGTGTACTAAAGGAAATATAAATGCAAAGTTAAAATTTAGTAAGTATTCTCTTTCTTTTCGTCAAAAACTGTGTGCCACATTTCATCTTGATTGGCACTGTATGAGAGTGCTTGTTTCCACACATCTTTGAACACACTAGTGTAATAGATATATCTTTTAACTTTACATGAAATGTTACAAGTAATGAAAGCGTTGCAAATAACAGTTCTATTTACACGAACTTTACTTAACTGACTGATGAGACTTTATATATTTATCATTTGCATTTCTTATTTGCAATTTCTTTTAATTTTAATTTTTTAATATTTATTAAATTAATTTTAACTGTTACACAGAAATTGCACTATTAAAATTGTACATTGTATAATGTTTATAATGATTGCTAGACACTCTTCATGTTTTATGATAGTAACTCTGCCATATATGTTACAAATATAACCCCTGTTTTCCAATTTGTCTTTGTCTTGGCTTAGAGCATTTATGTTTCACTTTTCCATGAACTTTACCTTCTTTGTTTTATGCCATAGTTATAAGAAAGGACATTTCCATCTTAATGTTGCATAAATAATCTGTTGGTGATATTTTTCCAGTACTTTTTACATTTCTAAGGCAAATATTTGATGTATGTAGAACTTCTATTTATGTATGTTCTAACTTTTAGCCAACTGATAATAATTGTCCTATCACAATAACATGTATGTTTAATCACATGGAAATGTTTAAACAAGAGCTTCTACCTGAATAGCAAGCTTGTAAGCCTTGCTAAGAGAATTAATTGCTCAAACATAGGAAATAACACTCAATAAATAACCAAATACAAAACTTCCAGAATTTAAACTCATAATGTTCAGAATACAACCCAAAATTACCCAACATAGGAAGAATCAAGAAAATGGTGCATACTTTCTAGAAAAAGGAAATCTATCAAGTTCAATTCTAAAACAAACTAGAAATCAAAGATAACAAAGATTTAAAGCTCATATTATAATTATCCAAAATTAAGTCTTTAAAGCAAAAACCATACTTTCAATGAATGAAAACATCAGCAAAGAAATTGAAACAATTAAATTTTGAAACTGAAAAGTACAATTTCCAAAATAAAAATGTATTCAAAATATTTAACAATGAAATGGATATGCCAGGAAAAAGACTAAATAAACTTGACAACCAAGAAATATTATCCAAGGTTAAGAACAGAGAGAAGTAAGATTTTTTTAAAGAGCAGATAATATTTTTTAAAT